TTGTATTAAACGCGGCCCCTTATATAACTATATATAATACTATCCTACTCGACTCTTCCCTCCCCCTTCCTCCTCCACCCTCTTTTGATATTCGAAAATTCCATCGGTGAGGATGGACGTCTACGAATCCGTTGAAATATCGCGAAAGGGAAAGTCGATTGGGGCGAGGGGACGAGGAGGGGAGAGGGAGGGCTTGGATGTAGCCGGTTAAGCCGAGCGGAAGGATTCCCAAGGGCTAATCGAATTATCGAGTTACCTAAACCGAGATGCTGCTCGAATTCGTAATAACGTCTAAAAGAACCCTTGGAAGAGGGTCTTTAGGGGAAAGAGGGGGGAGGGGGAGGCTGCCGTCGAGGTACACGGCTGCCGAGAGCCGAGATTACATCGATCGAACGAGATTACGAAAAGCGGGCCAAATTGAGCCGTAATGCGAGATCTTGGCCAGGAACCTGGAGGATAAACCGCGCGGAGAAAATGAGAAAAACGACCGTAGAATCGTTTCTTACTTTATGTGTATATATATATATATATATATATATATAGCCGTCCAAACGATTCCGCGTGTATATGTGTGCGTATAATAATGTGTGCACGCGTGTCCCGTGCGTGTACGCGACCGTCCAAGACCGGTTTCTCGTAACATCGTATCTACATCGTGTGTACAAGATCCCGGCTCGGGTATGCTTTAACTAATTCACCTACCGGGCAGTGGTTCTCCGTTCCTGTAATTCGATAGATAGATCGGAGAGGCGAAGAAAAAATAAAAATTGTGAATTTATTTTTTAAATACGAAGGGAGAAGAAAAATTCTTTTGTCTTTTGTAGTTTTCTTTTTCTCTCTTTCTCTCTTTATACGTAACTTCAAATGTAACTTTGTGTTCCTTTTTAATTTTTACGCGTATTGAATACAAATAATCGAATTTTAATAGTTTTGGATTAGTTCGTTTATTATGAGTAAGTTGCTTAGAAATCGAGGTTTCTTTCCTCTCCTTTCGTTAAAAATTGGAATAATAAAGCGGTATGTTTTTCTTTTTCGTTGCACGGTTACGTTACTCTTTCTTTTGTATGCAATATTCTTTTTCCTTCCTTTAATCGCGGGGATTTTTTATTTCACCGGCTAATATCTATAAAGGTGGCCGCTTTGGGGAGAAAGGTAAAAAAGTTTGAAAGCCCGAGAATCCGTGAAAATATCCGTATACAGAAGTAAACAGCTTCGAACATCGTTTCCCTCGATATGCATCTTTCAACGGTTACACGGCAGAAAAGCACCACTTTGGGATCCACATTTTTCTCTCCCCACGGTAATCAGAATACGTTCCGTACAGTTTGGCCAACCATTCGAAAAATTCCCTACACGAAGCTTCTTCCTCGAATCCCTGAAACGTATTATTCATGTACAACCGATTGTTGAAATTGTTGAAACTCCGAGAGAACGTCGAAAAGAAAAGAAAAGAGAAGAAAATGATTCGATGAAACGATTTAAATTTTTCTTTATTAAATTAATGAATATTTACGTATCCACGAAAAAGAATATTTATTATAAAAGATGTACGGAATGTAAAGGTATAAAAGATTGAAGAACGCTATTTTATATAGTATAGATTCAAAGGATTGAAACAAAGTTGCGGCACGTGTATATTTGTCCATCCTCGAACTCTCTATTTAGCGGACCACTCGGTCTTCCATCCCCTCAATTATGACTCATCTTACGACTCGCGTTTCTGAGTCATCGTCCCGGCGGAAGAACGTCAATGGGACGTGCATGGCGAACAAAAAGAAATTTCGTTTCACATCACAGTGACAATTTTGGAGATAATTTGATGGACAAAAGGAATGAAAGAAACATCATGTATTTCTTTTAAAAAGAAATAATAATAATAATAATAAAACCTGATATCTAAGAGTATTCAAAATATATAAAATATAAAACACTTAAAAGAATGAAAAAAAACGACTTGGATTTTGAACGATTATTTCACATAAAATGACATTGAATTGTATAATTTTCCTTCATCCATACACCTCTCAACCCAAAATTTATTTTCGACAATTGCATTCGTATCCCGATTTCGACAATTTCAATCATCTTACATAAAATATATAAAACTGGTTTCAAAAGCAGAAGTCAAATAAACGAGAAAATTGTAGAATAAAGAAAACACTCGACCAAGTTATTCAAGCTCGAATTAAAAATTACGAGAAGAAAAAGAAAAAACCAGAGACGAGGAGTAAATGATAAGGAGAGAAAAAAAAAAAAAAAAAAAAACCAAAGAGGGGGAAAAAAATAAAAAGGAGAAAAAAAAAAAAAAAAAAAACCAAAGAGGGGGAAAAAAATAAAAAGGAGAAAAAAAAAAAAAAAAAAAACCAAAGAGGGGGAAAAAAATAAAAAGGAGAAAAAAAAAAAAAAAAAAAACCAAAGAGGGGGAAAAAAATAAAAAGGAGAAAAAAAAAAAAAAAAAAAACCAAAGAGGGGGAAAAAAATAAAAAGGAGAAAAAAAAAAAAAAAAAAAACCAAAGAGGGGGAAAAAAATAAAAAGGAGAAAAAAAAAAAAAAAAAAAACCAAAGAGGGGGAAAAAAATAAAAAGGAGAAAAAAAAAAAAAAAAAAAAACTACGCCACAGAGATCGTCTCTCGCAGGTCGTGGCGACTTTCTCGACGAAGTAATTACCCTTTAATTAATAGACTTGTCCCCGTTGAGAAACGTTCTCGGAGGTCAGGATCTTAATTATCCCGAGGCTGGAAACGTAACTCGCGTTTAACACGTAGGGCACAGGGCGAGGAAGGGCGATGGCTGTTCCAGGGGGAGGGAGGGTGTCGACTCGATTCGGGTTGGCGAGATGATAAAACGGTGGCGCGGCAATAAACGTCGTTCAGCCATTAAACTCGGCCGAATTCGGTGCTCGTGGCGCCCACACACACACACACATACGAACCCTTCTATTTCCACCATCGCCGCCACCCCCTTCTCCACTCGCCGACGACCGTTCGTTTGCATTTTCAAATTGAACCAGCTTTACGCCGCTATCCCAGAGTTTTATGCCGCATCATCGTGTCCACATTATCGAGTTAAGCCCGTCCGGGAAATTCAATCTGCGACGATCTCCACGAAATTTCCAACGAGTCGCGGCCGCCGAAACAGTTGAAACTCGCGCGTATCCCGTGGAAAGGGATGGATGGAAGAGGGGATATATCATTCGATTTCGTTCGAGGATGGGACGGGAGAGGAACGGAAGTTCGTGCGTATCCTTATTTAAAGAGGAAAAAAAAGGAGGGGAGGGGAAAAAAAAATACAGGGAGAATCGCGAAACGAACCGAGAAAACTATATAGGGATAGGGTCCTGGATAGGGATGAAAACCCCTCGAATCGTCGCATAATCCCTTTGGAAACTGGCGTGGAAACGAGTCATGACGCTTTCATTCTCGAATAAACGACCGATATCGATCGCGATCGATATCTCCGCTGTGACGAGATACGCAAGACTAATGGACCCTCGGCTTTCTCTCCGCCGCACACCCTGTTTTGTCCCGTCCCTTTCACGAACCCTTATCCCCCTTTTTATCTTCCACCCTCCCCACGATGGAAGATCGTGGCCCCTGTTGGACGAGCACAAAGCATCCGCCACTCCTCTCTCTCTTTCTTTCTTCATCTTTACCTGTCCGTCATTGTTCCTCCCTCGACTTGCAAATTTTCCCCTCCATTCGATCGGTCTCTCTATCCGATTTAATCAAGGAAAACACTCGAAACCTCGATACACATACGCACATATACACGTATGGACACGATGATTGCATCGCTTTCGAATCTTCGATTCTAAGTCACGATTACGAGACGTGGTTTGGATGATGTTCGAGGGAACGTGTAGATCAGATTCTTTGAAATTGTTCATTTTCGATATTGTGGGAACGGTGGATTATTATGGATTATTAAGAATATAAGAAAGTTAATTCGGGTTTCTCTAACTGGACACGTTTAATAAAATTTTATATAAAAGTAGTAAATATTTCCCTGTCCTATAATTTATATCGGTGATAAATTT